TGTGATCCAGGATAGTTGACTCTAGCACAAATTTCATACCTTTTTAGCTTTGGAAGGGATCTAAGCCACCTTTGAGTTCATAGCCAGTGAACTCCGACCCAGGGCCCTCTTCATAAGTAACTCCTGTACACTTGCAAAGGTCACCGTGCTCAGAAGGCCTTACACTTGCTTTACTGCTTTGCTGTCACCATCTTGACATTTTTAATTTTTGGACAAAGGGCTCCACATTTTTATTTTGTCCTAGACTCCTTAAAAAAAAATCTTGTCCTATTCTGGCCCCCTGCTGAGCTTCAACCCTCTTTTCTCATCTTCCTGAAAAGTATTTATTCAGTGTCTGTGTAGACTCATTGAGCTAAAAGGAACTTGACCCTGTTTAAGGCAGCACAAGTTACTACGAGGCAGATCAAGTTAGAGAACTTGTTCTGATGCTGTGCAGGAATCTCCCCCTTTATAGTTGTTCCTATTGAACACAGTCTTCTGTGTCTTATGTGATAAGTTCCTTTTCACATAAGAATGTTTTGCATATTTTAAGGCAGCCACCATCCCCCCAACACCCAGAAGAAATGCAATAAATTAATGAATTGAGTATTCTCATGTTTGATTCATTAATGGAAAGAGAAAGGCTGTAGTAAGCTCACATGAGAGGGAAGATCATCTGAAAGGACCAAATGAAAAGCAAACAAAATGATTAGGAACTGATGCCCTGGGATGAACAAGCCACGAAAGATTAAGGAGGAACAGTTGGCTCTGTCCTTATGATATGGGAACAAGTCTTTTTATGCCTTATATAATATCCCCCCAAAATGAACTGTGCTTATGTAAGTTGGTCTCATTTTGAAATTAGCACTGTTGAGGAACAGATCTCTTTGTGTATAAGAAAATGACTAAACTTTTGGTTATTTCCAAGCTTTCATTTTCAAATAAGTATCTGAAACAAGCAAATAGCACAAATAAATAGGCGTTAGTGTCATCATACCAAAATATGTCTATTTATTATTTGCCCTCACAAAGTAGGATTTTCTTAGATAGAGACCTTATATTTTATTCAACTGGTCTTTATTGTGGTGTCTAGAAAAGCTTTCAACATGGCCAGTGAACTCTGTGATTCTGTACTGTGGAATTCTGTGTCTGGAGAGAGAGAGTAGCCTTCCTATAGGCATAAGTGTGCAAAGATGGTTCCACATATTCAGGCAAAGGTGGAGGGACCAATTCCCACTGCCACACAGCTGATGGCTTCCTTCCCTGGGCATTAGTGCTGACAAGGCGGGAGGTTGAGCAGTGCAGAGGATGGGGAAACAGAAAGATCATGGGACAGCATTAAGGATGAATTTTTTCCTTTCTATATGATCCTCATTACAGAGAGAAAGGCAAAACTTATTGTTAATATGCACGTTGAAAGTATTTCTGGGAATATCAATTTGGGCTAGCATTTAAAATTACACCATACTCATATCTAGATACATTTTCAAAATAATCCTCTTTCTATTATAAAATTTAGTAATATATAAAATCTTACCAGTAACTTATTCTCCATTTATTATTTTTTACTACTACTCTATTAATGATTTTATAATTTTGAACCACTTTAGTTAATTTTTATTAGGTATTATATGGGTCAAAATATTAAAAAATCTAAAAGAGTAAAAGTCTTTCTGTCCACCACCAGAGCCTGGCTGTCCAGTTTCCCCCAGGCAACCAGCAGCATTACTAGTTTTTATTTATCTTTTTTTCATCTTTTAGGTAAGCACCTACAGTTAAATCTCAGTTCAATTCTGTTGTACTAAGAATGGCCTCTTACTAAGGTCTGGGAGGAGGGACTTAGTTTTTCCTTCCCTCTACGGTTTTCTGATTTGAACTCCCATCTTCAGACTTACAAAATTAGCCCTGAGCAGCCAGTGATCTCTTCCTGTCACACTGTCTGTCCCTCTGTCCCCATGTAGCAGTCTTTTTGTCAAGCCAGTATTACTATGCTTGGGCGAGACTTCCTCAAGCTATTTTCCATCCCTCTCTAAAGTGTTATTAATTTTCAAAGTCACTCCCTCAAAAAGTTTCTCTGGCTCGATATGAAGAGATGAAAATCTCAGCTTGTCCCTCACTCAACTTAGTGGGGTCTGCCTCTTCTCTACTTCCTCCTCTTCTCTGTAATCTGGAAAAAGGTTGGTTTTTTAAAAAAGTATCCTACCGAAGGATGATGCAGGGCTCCTAAACTTTTCCATAAAAAGAATTCTCTAATTTTTTGTTTCTCCCATAACTTGTCCTCACTGGGGTTGGCAGATTCTGTGAGTGGGTCTGAAAGCAGGTTGGGTTTGGAGGAGCATTCTAACACGGGGCGGGTGACTGCATTCCATTATTTTGTATGTCCAGAATTCACCCATTCCCTTTTCTGGGTGTTCTCTTCCCTTTCTAGGAACTATCCTGTCTTCTTGCTTATCCACAAGGTGAATTTGGGAGCTGCCGTATTAGTTCAAATGTAAATTAGACCTGCACCACAATTTATTGGTCTAGGAGTGAACCCCAGATACAATCTGGGTCCACCAATTTTCTTCCCAGGAATGTGGACATTGATCTGAGACTCAACTCTGTCTCTTTCCAGAGGGTTTAACCTACTAGTGATGTAAAATTCGGGGGCTTTGTGCTATGTTTGTCATTATAAGGGTGGAAGAAATAAAGGCAGATGGCCTGAGAGAGGAAGAAAAGAAAGGATCTGAGACCGGTTGACAGAGCTCCAGTCCCTGGCTCTGGCTGTTGATGACTCTGCCTTCCATGAGACACTGTGATCTTTTGGTGTCAGCTAATTCAGGTTGGCTTTCTGTTCCTTGCAAACCAAAGCCATACAGAGAGCAGGACAACAGCAGCCCTGCCACCTACCAGGGAAGGCAGGGAAAGCCAGCATGACTTGCCACCACGTTGTATCTCAAGGGATTCTTGGTGATTTCAAGTTTTTAAGACCTATCTTGGATCATGTTTCTAAGTGAAATATTTCTCTGAATTTTTCCTTGCATAAATATTGAATTACAGTAGACTTTCACTGATAATCTGCTCATGGCAAAAAAAAAAAAAAAAAAAAAAAAAAAGTCTGTGGTTTCCAGCTTGTATTTTCATTCTTTAAGCAGATCCCCTTTCTCCTATTCAAATAAACCCTCAGTAGTATTCAGAGAGAACCCACTGAGTCCTCAGACTCTTGTGTGTGTTAAAATCTAAACCCAGAGAAGAGCAAAGTTAAACAGGAATCTTCCTCACCTCCAAGGATCCAGAAATAGAGGGAACTTTATTTACCAAGCAGAGCATCTGGGAGGCAGCAAGACCCCAGAAAATACTTGGAAATGGTGTGTCTGGGCAGAGAGGCTGCTGTAGACAGTGGTGATGGTATCTGGTTGCTGTAGACAGTGGTGATGGGATCCAGCTGCTGTAGACAGTGGTGATGGGATCCGGCTGTTGTAGACAGTGGTGATGGGATCTGGCTGCTGTAGACAGTTGTGATGGGATCTGGTTGCTCCATGGAGTCAGGGAAGCAATGGAAGATGCTCGTGCCCTCACACATGTCAGAAGGTAGGATAAGGAAAGGATACACAAAAAGCCTTACAAGGACAGGAAGTCTCAGCCTTGACCTTGCGTAAGTACCACAATGTAGATGTCACAGTGAACACACAAGGGGACAGAGAACTAGGGGACAAGAGGCTACCACCTCTACTACCCCACCTAGTGCCTTAGCTCTCTAGGGCCTCCTGAAGCCAAGATAAACCTTGGGCAAAGCAGAGTCTAGATTGGCTGGGAGTTAGTTTCTGCTACCTTAGCAGAATGTATGCCAGAAAGAGAAATTAAGTAAAAATGGTAAAAAAATCCTATATTTTGTGCTCATTTGAGTTTCTAGACTAAGATTTACATGTGGATACATATTACTTTGCTTTATTTTTTTAAAATTTATTTTATTACATTGCTTTATTTTATAAGTAAGGCAAACGAAAGAGTTCCCAAACATACCTATATTCAGTTAAAATTCATAGTGATAATCTAAGAAGCTATTGTTTGCGCTGTTCATAATAACTATTAATAATAACCATTGAGCACTTCTGTCATGCCAAGCATTGTGCTAAGGAGTTTATATTCATTATTGTGTCAATATTTATAATAACACAAAAGAGTAGGAATTTTTATATCAGTACTATGTAAATGAGAAATGTGAGTCATTAAGTGGATAAAAAAATTTGCTGGTAACAGACGTTATAAAGGGTCTCATTCTATTTGTGGTGATTGCTTCTTTTAAGGGACTATTTGCATGGAATTGCTATGCCAGAATAAGAGCTCTGTTGGGATTTCAAAGTAATGACACAGTATTCAAAGGCAAGATGTCAGCAAGTATCTTTTATAAAGTGTTCGTTAGCACTGAAAGGCCTTTATGAAAGGCCAATTTGAACCAGAAGCTGCACCAGGAACTTGGATTAACAATGACATCCATCTCTATTTCTCTCTATCTCATCTCAAAATTTTAAGAGATAAATAGATAAATATTTCTTTTTTTTTTTTTTTGAAAGTGTAAGAAAATAGAAAAAGTCAAAGTAGATGTTTATTACAAAACAACCTTTTCTATTAATTAAATGCTTTAAACAAAAATCCCATAATACCATGAACTGACAATGACCTGCTGGCATGCAAAAGCTTCAGGCTGGAGAGGCAGGCTTGCTCTTGATGAATTTACATAGAATGAATTGTTATGATATTTGATTTCAAAAAGTATGCATTAATTGGCCTCACATGATTAATAATTCAAAGTGAAACATAAGTTTAAAAACTGGTATTAATTTCTATGAGTCCATTCAAAGTCAGTGACTGGAGAACTACAAAAAAACCTGAAGTCAATGAATCTTTAGGAAGCAACCCTGTGCCGATGTACGTTTGAAGATCAAGGGCTAGAAACATACTCTTAATGAATACTATTAACAAAGGATGTATAACATCCATCACACATCTGTTTCAGAAACAGCATGCTTCCAAAATGATACACCCCTTTACAAATGGACATTATAGTATTATAGGTATGGAGATACCATCAGGGTGAGTTCTGAAATACGTTGCTGTCTTTCACAAGCTGTCCCTGAGCCATCTCTTGAGGCATGTGTTTTAGTCTTGGGGCTTCAAAAACATCTTCTTTGTTTTAATTGGTTTTACATCTCCATTTTCATCTTCTTCATAATTGGCACGGTCTCTCTTCTTGGCAAACTTTTTCCCAATTGTCCCCACCAAGGTCTCGTATCTTCTAGCCATTTCTTCATCTGACACATCAGCCTCCTCTGTTTCATCTTCAACAACTTCTGCTTTGTTCTTAGAATTCATCTGAAGCATCAGTTTCTCGACCTCAGGATTAAATCCTCTGAATGACATTCTTCCATAGAGAAGATCTTCACATAACAAGAAACTCTGCTCTTCTATTATGAAACTCTCTTTCTCTGTCAGGGCTGGCAAGTCCAAGTACCAGTGCTCTTCACCAGTGATTTTCTTTTCTTCCTCTTCCAGTTGTTTCTTGGTTTCTGAATCCAGTCCCCTTTGCATGAACTTCATGCGCAGCAGGTTCTTGGACAACTTGGTCTTCCGCTCGGCCGCCATGGCTGATGCAGCCCAGCGCGGCACTCCAGCCACGTACTCCGCTGCACATGCGCGCTCATAGATAAATATTTCTTTCTAAAATATGTATGAGACAGAGAGATATTGATTTATTTTCAGAATTTATCTCATGTGATTGCAGGACCTAATAAATCCAAAGTTCACAGGGCAGGTTGGCAGACTGAAAATTTAGGTGAGAGTTGATGTTGCAATTTTGAGCCTCAAATCCATGGGGCAGACCAGGAAGGCGGAAAGAAAACTCAGGCAGGGTTCCTACGTTGTAATCTCTTTTTTCTGGGAAACTCCAGACTTCACTATTAAGACCTTTAACTGATTGGAGGGTAATCTTCTTTATTCAAAGCCTACCTGATTTAAATGTTAATCTCACTTAAAAAATACCTTTACAGCAAAATGTAGATCCATGGTTGGCCAGGTCAGTTGCAATCACTGCCCCATAAAGCTCTAAAGACTCTCGAGTTCAGGGTCCCACTAAAGACAGATTTCATGGAATTTTAATAAGTATACCACCCCAAAAGTTTCTGTGGTCGACATCTTTTTGAAGTAAACAATGCCAAACACACTGATTTACTATAGAAAGCCTTTGTTATGCTCAATGTACTGGGAATCCCCCCAAATGGGGAGTATAGTTTGCAGTGATCCCTAGTTCTTATACTCAGATAATCTTTCTCGTGTGTGTATGAGTGTGAGTCATCTCTCTGAACCAGCATTTCCTGATGCACATATAGTGATTAAAATAAATCTTTCTGTTTTGCTGTTGACAAACTGAGGCAAACAGAGAGGAGGAGCCCATAAAGAGTTTGTGGCAGTTATAGGTTCAAGTTTACTGATTCCAGTGTTCTTTCCAAATGCAAAATATAAAAAGCTGATAATAAATGCTGAGAATTGGCCCATTCTCACCACCCTAGGGAGGTGTTTGACCTGGGCAGGCAGGTGATTGGTTCTGTACCTCTTCAGCGTTTCTGTACAGCTGAAGTTAGGCCTGGTTAGTGAGCAGGTGGGAGATGGGCACATGAGGAGAGGCAGCCCCTTGGCTTTGTTTTGATGATGGTTGTGTGTACAGATTATCAGCTAGTGGGGCCATCTCCTTTTCCCCTGGGGTCCAATTTCTCTGAGTAACAGTCCATTTGCCAGCAAAGGGTGGTGGAAGGAGGTGTTAAATGGACCAATTTGGGAGTTGGATGACATTGGCTCCATTTGCTGGACCTTGAGCATGACAATGGTAGGAATTCCCACCTAGTTGAAATAATCATCAAATAGAGGTTATTAATCAATGATGGCTCGTCAGCCAAAGAGGAAGCTATCAGAATTATAATCAATAAGGGAATAGCTCCAGAAGCTCCTTTCCAGGAGACAGAAAAAAACACCTTATATTGATTCTTTTTCCTTTGCTATTGGCTTGGGCAGAGGATTCAAAAGCTAATATAAAATTTGTTATATTCTCTTCCAGGAATAGACATTCCTTCAGATGTGTGAACTTTTAAAATTCATTTTAGTCTTTTTTTTTGAGGTATAGTCTCAAGCTGTCACCCTGGGTACAGTGCCGTGACATCACAGCTCACAGCAACCTCAAACTCTTGGGCTTAAGCGATTCTTTTGCCTCAGCCTACCAAGTAGCTGGGACTACAGGTGCCTGCCACAGTGCCTGGCTATTTTTTTGGTTGTAGCTGTCATTGCTATTTAGCAGGACTGGGCTGGACTCAAACCTGCCAGCTCTGGTGCATGTGACTGGCGCCCTAGCCACTTAAGCTACAGGCCCTGAGCCTCATTTTAATCTTTATACTCAATCTTCCTGAGAACTCTTTGGTGATTCTCTGTCATAAGTATCACATAACCTTGCTGGTATTTTTTTCTATGATAGAAGCATCTCAGGTAGGTGCTAATTTATTATACGATTTGTCCCAGTGTTCTTGCATAACTGCACAGAGTTCTGGGACATAACATAAAACTATAAACTTAGACTAGTTTTGCAAAGAGTTTATATTTTGTCTGAAAATGAGTCAGTGGTAGTTCTTCCAACTAGACTTGAAAGTCAGGAAGCAATCACCTGTGCTTCCCCCTTTTCTCTTCAAATACTCTTAATTCTCTGTGAGTTTTCCTTTTATGTTTTTTTCCCTTTTTTTATTGAATGATAACTATGTACATTAATGCACTTCTGGGGTACAGTGTGGGGTTTTCACACACAATCTGAAATACTTCCATCAAACTGGTTAACATAGCCTTCATGTCATTTTCTTAGTTATTGTTTTAAAACGTTCACATTGTACTCTTAGAAAGATTCACTTGTACCCTTGTAAGATAAACCTCAGAAGTAATCCCTCCAATCCGCCTCCCTCCACCCATTCTTCCCTCCCCTCTCCCTCCCCCCTCCCTTTTATGTTTAAAAGGATTTACATATTTAATATTCACAGTATTAATCAGCTCTTGGGGACTGATTGGGGGTTCTCCTTCTTACGCACTCTCTGGGTCAGTCATCATGGCTGAGAGACACAGCACAGAGATGCTACCAACATATGCATGATTTAAATCTGGGTTAGCTGGGGTTCCCTAGGAGCAGAGCTGGTGGCAGGAGTTCTTGCATAAGTCATTTGGTGAGGGGGTAATCTCAGGTGATTTCTGTAAGGGAGGGAGAGAAGTAGGAGAGTGCTGAGGAGGAAGCCAAGCAAGATGTGGTTTCAGCTGGAGTTTAGTATCAGTTGATCCCTGAGGAGCTCTGGAGCAAGACTAGTATTGATGTTGCAGGACCAGCAAAATGAAACCAATAGACTCTCACCAAAGATTATAGGAGAAGGAATTTTATTTTAGCCGGTGGAGCCACGGCAGACTAGAATCCAAAATAGAGTTCCTTGATCAGTTCTGTCCTTGTCCTTTGATTGGACTCACAAGTAGACAGACAAAGGAATTACCATATTCTTTCTCAGTGGAGATGTCAAATCATGTACAGGGTTTATAGAAGCAGAAGCAAGCAACAAGGGTTAGTTTCAAGGACCCAGGAAGCTAAGTTTTACAAATTCTTAAGGGCTGAGTTACCGTGGGGAGGACCTTGCAGGAGTGTTCTTGGTCTTCTCTGAGAAGTTTTTGTTTTTTACAGACTTTTCCCAGGTATCCTCCCTCACTGATACCCTGGACATGTCAAACACTGAGGCTACAGGGGCTTTGTATATCCCTTTATCAGTTAGCTAGTGGCTACAGGTTACCACTTCTGGGTAAGGACGCTACCACAGCAATTCTCTGAAAAGGTTGAAACAGCTGGAGGATTGATACTTCGGTTCTGTAAAGAGGATCTGGGTAGGTCACCGTGAACTTGTGTCAGACCTACACTGACTTCTTATTTTCCTGACTTTTGCTTACCTTCCCAGAAAGAACCATAGAGATATCATATCTTGTACTTCCCGAGTTCAGAAAAAAGGAGTTAACAATTGGCATTAATCTCCCTCCTTCATCCTGACTATGTAACCCAAATATCTGCTGGACTTCCTGACTTTGAGTCCCCAAACTTAACCTCACATTCATAAGCCTTAGCCCCTCTCCTGGTTTCTCAGTTTATCACCTCTTTACTCCATTGACAAGAGTTTTAGCTTACCACCAGTTTGGGTCCCAGTAGGGCAGTGTGTTAGTTATTTATTGCTCGCTAATAAATCATAAAAACCCGAATGTCCAAAAAACAGTAATGACCTTATATTTTCTTATAGTTTTAATGGACTTGACTAGGTTGTTTTGGTTCAGGCTTTTTTTTGCTTCTTTGTTTCTTTTCCTTTTGGTAAATTTTATTCAGCTGTTGGCCAGGACTGCAATCATTTGGAAGCTCAGTTGGAGGTGAAATGGCTTCAAAGGTGGCTTAGTCATGTGCTGGCAAGTTGGTCCCGGCCATCAGTGGGAGGCTCCTAACCTTCTCATGTGGTCCTCTCCTTAGGGCAGCTAGTTCTGCAGAGAAAGTGATCTAGGACCACAAGGCAATAGCCACAACCTATCCTCAGACCAGCTCTGATTTGACATGAGAGGACACTGCACAAGATTGAGAGTGCCAAGAGAGAAGGATCATGGTGGTCCATCCTGGGGGCTGGCTTCCCAGGGGCAGTAGATTCCTGTCTCCCTCAACGTTTTCCTGCCCTCCTACTCTGTCTGCTTGGCAAGAATATGGTGGCTCCTTAACTCTCTATTCTTTATTTCTTCACTGTGTAATCTTGATATTTCTCAAGACTCCTACTTGAATTGAGTCATATAGGATGTGAAACCAAAAGTGTTTTTATGTTTTATTAATCAATTTGAGCAGTTTCTAAGCTTTCAGAGCTGTCTACTTCTTTCTAACATTTCAGGAGCTGGTGGCAACCCCATAGTCTCCTCATCTCTAATCTTCAAGTTTGTACGATTGCTGCTCTGCCTACTCCCAGCCTTCATGTCATCCCGGAGAGTCTTTATTTATAATGCTTACCTTCCTTCCTATACCTACCCTTCTGTTCTCTCCCCCGATCTTTTGCTGTGCTTGTTAGTATTTTATCTACTTAAACACAAAGATTCCAAAATAAAATCTTTTTCCCCCAAGGTGGCAACCCCAAGACAGGGTTGTATTTGAGCCTGAGTTGGCACTGCAGAATTGGCAGTGTGGTGGCATGATGCTGGAACCAGGCACCAGAGAGGCCCAGACCCGGAAATAACCCAGATGTTGACTAAAAGCTGCCTTCTGCAAGGTCATGGGAGAATGATTTTTGCTTCCACAGTGATTTCTGCTTGTATTTCATAGTTTTTTTTTTTATTGTTCTTATTTTCAAATAATTTTTTAAAATTTTGACTGTAAAGACAGAAGTATCATACAAAGGTTCTACAAGATTGTTTGGTTTTCTGTGAGACATTAGTGAGAAGAAGGATAAGCCTGACCTCTCTGCCATCTGTGGGCCTCATTTACTTCCTATTTCTGTGATGCTTTTTATCTATTCTGAGGAGAAACTCATTTCACTGACACAGGCAGCCTAATCCTGCTAGCGGTCTTACAAGTATACAAGTCACACCCTACGT